AAAAAAAAAAAAAAAAAAAAAAAAAAAAAAAAAAAAAAAAAAAAAAAAAAAAAAAAAAAAAATAACGATGCCAAGGCCTAAACTTACCGAGGTAGAAAAAGTCAAAGAACGTAGACTGGAATACCTTAAGCGCTACACACAAACGGAAAAACGAAAGTATTCCTTCCTCAAACGCAATCATGAAGCCCGTCCCTCAAAAAAGTACCAAAGTGGTTGAGGGAATTAAACTCTACCGAAGAGCGAATGGTGGCTCTCTGAAACCCTTTCATGCAAATTCGAGAATTTGGTGTGGATCACTAGTACGGGATAAGAGGATAGTATTCTCAACGTACCCAAAGACTTGCACAAGGCTGTAGACTGTCTTCCCCGCAATATAAATTATTCATTCACTATTCATGTGAAATTGAAAAAAAGCCTAGCTTTCTAATCATATTTCATGGATGAATTTGTGAATTCGAAACGAGTGTATGATGCAGCTTACGGTCTCCATCAAACACATTGTACCAATCCGAAAACGTTAATATTGATCTCGATTGGCTGTTCACTGTCTATTCATTCATCAAAAGAATTTACACAGAATGTGTATGAGCTGCACTTAAATATGTATACGAAATTATGTACCGAGCAGTTCAGGATTAACACCTAAAGATGTCCAAGATAAAAATACAATAACATTGCTTTTGCGGAAAAAAAAACTAGACAACAACCATTTCGTCAAATGTGATAACCGTGCGGCGATCAAAATTTTTTTAAATTCTTTATTAGTCTATTTTTGAATTTGAAGAAAGTCAAATAGGTAAAATTCGATTTCTCAAGAATTTTCAACAGATTCCGTGTATAAATTGCTTTCGTTGATCCATTTCCTAAGATATTTCCTATGATATTCCCCGATTAATTTTTATTTTGTGTAAAAATGTCGATTTTTCTGTGAGGAATTTCTTATTATTTATTTTGAATCCACCAGTACTTTTTTTCTTATACTTTTATATAATATCTTATATCAAAAAAATTATAAAATATAAATTATAAAATAAATTTTGCTTCTGGTACTTTCATCACTTTTGAAATTGCAAACTATTGAATTAGTATTAGTATAGTCTCAATAAAATCTTCATTCGAATTAAAAATGAAGTAAAATATTAATGTTACAGTAAATTTTACTATAATTAAATAAACCTCAGTTTTCTGAATTTTTATCTGATTTGATACTGCAAATTTTTGAAGCAGTTTCGTTAAAATCTTCATCCTTATTGAAAGTGAATAAAATTATAAGGTTAAATTAAAGTGCCTAGTATGATCGCATAATAATAAAGTACTTTAATCACTTTCGAAATTGCCGACTATTGGAGTAATTTCATTAAAATCTATATTTCAATTGAAAATGAATAAAATAATAAGGTTAAAGTAAAGAATTTTAAATGTATTAATTGCTTTCTCAAATCCATTTTTTTCCAGATCTATTTTAATTTATTATTTGCGCAAAGGTATGGATTATTTAACGACTAATTTCTTATATTTATTTCAAATTAAAAATTATCACTTTCTTCTGATTAAACGTTTAATTGGGTAAAAAACAATTTAATAAAATCTGTCACATCCAAAAAAGCAAACAAGTGAGGCATTTTTGTATTTAAATGTATAAAGTGCTTTCTTAGACCAGCTTCCTGAAATCTATTTCAATTCATTATTAGCATAACAATATAGATTTCTTAGTGAAGAATTTCTAATATGTATTTGGAATTCAAAAATTGACATTTTTTCCTCATCCGAAATGCTTAATATAGCGACAAAAGCAATAACAATTTTCGCAGTGTATTGCAATAAAAATACCTTTTATAAATTTTCCTTACACCTGAAATAGAACTTTCTAAATAATTTTCATAGAATCTTCATCCTAATAAAAAATTAATAAAAGGTTAAAGTAAAGCATTATAAATGTCTCAGCTTTCTTAGACCCGTTTTCCTCAGACCTATCTTGATTTATCATAATATCGATTTCGTCGTAAGAAATTTCTTATACGCATTTTGTACTGAAAAATGCATAGTTCCATTAAATCTTCATCCCATTTAAAAATGAGTAAAATGTTTTGAATTAAATATGAATTATATTTCAAAAATTTTTTTTGTTTTAACTCTGCACACTTTTTAAAACTTTTATTCAAGTGTAATCTCATTAATTTTGAGTCAAATAGATTTTTTTAAAAAAGAATTAATGACTTTTGTTTTGACGCTTGCAAAATAAGTTTTATCTTTCGTAATTAACACTGTTATTGGTACGTTATTCAAGAACTAAGATTTTGTACACGTTATTTAAGATCTAGGAGTAGGAACCGGTTACTTGATGACTGATATATCTTAACCGGAAATTTGAGCCAATGAGAAGGAAGAAGCGTATACTTCATGAACAGGAAAACTGGTTCTCTCCGCCAGAAACTTTCATCCTCGGTGATAAAACGAACTCGTCCCCATTTGCCATCATTCTGTTTATTCCCAAAAGCAAATGAAGAAAATTCATTTCAGGTAGATCGAATACATAGACGGAACAAGCGCCTATGGGAGTTAGAACACACCGACCGTTTCTGCTAGCAAGAGTACCGATCATGGATTTTAATTCAAGTTTAATAGGTTTGTATTTTATTTATATTTCTTTAAATTATAAATTGTATAATATGATAAAAAACATGAAGAAACAAACTGACATATTATTTAAAAAAAAACAAACAAAAAAACAAGCAGTTATATTAAATGGATGAAGTGTAGTAATTTCTTCTTTCCATAAATAGTGTTAACTCCTCCAATGGCTGAAATAACTAGTAAGTCTACAGAAGGTGAGAAAATTACTGTAATATACACTGGAACATACAAATACTTCAATTTCATTCAATTTAGTGAGTAAGAAGAATATGTAAATATGCACATGCAAAATTGTTAAGCTTCCTTATTGAACATGCTTAGGATTCTTTTAAAAAATAATCTAAAAGAAATGATACAATAGTGGTGGCAATTAATATTTGAGTGAGAAAAATACAAAAGCTATAGAAATCAAATGAATCACTCCTCCGGAAAACAAGACTGAAAATATAAAAACCGGTTTAATTGCCACGCGGAATCAAAAGGATGTTAACTGTTATTTACGCCTCAAAATTTTATCAAGTTAAATTAATAAAGAAAAATAGATTGTAATAAATAGAGTTAAAATCGTCTGCGCTTCCTCAGGCAATTAAACTGGTTTTGATGTTTTCATTCCCGATATTCTCTGTTGTTATTTGCTGGATTTCGATACGGGTTGTCTTTTTCATTGCTAGAAGATTAATCTATGCTCATTTTTTTAAAATTCAAACAAAATGACTGTTTACGATTCTAAAGCAATAAGAGAAACTCTTGGCATTGTTAAATTATCTCTTTTGTGATTAAGTATTCAAGAAGTTTTCATAGTAACTAATAAGTAAATGTAAAAAATGAGTGCGTGGATGAAGTATATCAGACGTATGGTAGCATTTGAAGGAAATAAATATTGATGAAATATTTATAATTGAAATGTAATTGAAGGAAAAATTAAATAAAATTTTTTATTGATCTCGATTCTTTACTCGCACATAGAAAAGTTTTACGAATTAGCAAATCAGTTTAGATAATTGAACAAACTTTATTTGATTTTTAAGGTGATATATAAGTTCTTTTTAAAGGATTAATTACTTTAAACAAATGAAATTTGAATGATTACATAGTAAAATGTTATAAATTTACACGCTCTAATTATTTTAGTGCAAATTTAAATTTTCAAAATAGTAACTGAATCAAGAAATAATTAGAAAATGGGCATGTTAAATAACATAATAAAACCATTTTGAAAAAATAAAAATAAATAATGCCGTTTTGGAGTCTTGAAATATATATATATATATATATATATAGGACAAATAAAAAGAGAAAACTATCTTCATCTTATATTATGCTTTTTCTCTTTCTAAGAAAAACTTAAAAAATATTTTTTTTAACTCTAAAACGACTTTATTTATTTTCAAAATAGTTTTATCATTTTATTTAACATGCACTTTTTCTAATTATATCTTGAATTGTTTATTATTTTGATTTGATTATTTAGAGAACTAATAATAACCAGAGTATTTAAATTTATAAAATTTTACTATGTAGTCATATGAAAGTAATTCATATAAAGTAACTACATTAAAAATAAATTTATATTTTCTCTATAGATCAAATAAAGTTTGTTAATTTTTTTAAAATTGATTTGCTAATTTTTAAAACTTTTTATGTTAAAGTAAAACCTTGAGTTCAAGATTTTATTTTTTTATTACGTATTTAATTTTCTTCTTTCAATTACAATTCAAATACAAATATTTTTCACAATCTTTTTTTAATTTTAATTAATTTTTTTTAAA